GGGGGGGGCTATTTTTAGCGGTCCAACTTTGACCTCCAAACGAAAGAGGGTGGCACATAATCACAAGAACCGCATAATCAACCATCCGTTTCATGTCTTTCCGGTATTTTACGCTCCAGTCTGATCGGGGTCCAAAACAAAAGTTTCTCCCCCGTTCATCATGAGCTTCCTGGCGACTGAAGAGGACAAGACAATTCTGAGCGAGGCATTCGCGTTCATCGCAGCGTGTGGCAGTGAAACTTCCTCTGTCAGCGTCGATACTACAGATGATAACAGTGGCTTGGATGACGTTCCCTTTCTCGATGACCTCATCGACAGCAACAGCCTCGAGTTACTAAATGGATCTGACATCAACGAACAAGACTCAACATCCTCCGTCGCGCCTGCAGTAAAAGCAAAGCCGCAGAAACCCAAGAAAAAATCAACGAAAAAGCGACGAGTGAGGAGTGCTGAGACGTCATCAACTGGGCTGCAGCGACGGAAAAGGGCGGAGTTAGCGAGTTTACGCGAGCAGGTGGAGGAGTTACAAGGCGTTCTTGATCAGTTAAAGCGCGCTGGTCCTCTTGCTTTGCCACTCAGTAAAGATGGAGTCGATACGTTTGAGTCGGATAGGGGAACTCAATGGCACAGCCACGCAGTGGAGCAGTATCGACTGCGCTTACAGGCGGAGAAAGTCAACCGACAACTCAAAGCTATCATGAAGAACCACATCAAAGTTCGCGAATCATTAGGCGGTGTTTTACAGAAACGATCTGTGCTTTACGTGAGTATTTTTGTGCAGAAAATTTAGAAATGCACATTTCTAATCGTGATATGTGACTGATGTAGGGTATGGACTACTTGATGAATGACAATGCACCAAGGTGTAGCGCTGTTCTGCATGGAGCCAATCATGTCGATGCTTGGATGGCGCGTTTAGAGAATACAACCGAGCACCTTCGTCTACTTTCCAGGTCCAGATTCGAAACGAATCAGCATCTGGTGTTGGTAAACAATTCTGTACAGTGTAAATACGACGAGCGCCGCAAGACGAAGATTATCGAGTTTGAAACGACCACGCCTTTGAACTGCTCGCTCCAGGAAGCCAGCAGCTTCCTATGGACCGACTTCCAATCTGACAGGGTACGATTGTTGTTTAGTATTTTCTTACTTATTTTTATTTAACTGATTATTTTTTTTTTAGATTTTGGGGAACAAGCCCGACACGCTCATAAAGAAAGTGGTGTTGACGATGCCCAGCCGCAAGGGGACAATTGCAGCTGAAAAACTGCATTTTCTCCGCAAATACCAGAACGAGGATGAGATGGTGCTCACCTGGGCCGATATCATGGTTTTACCGACGAAAAGAGAGCTCCAGTTCAGGACAGAAGGCATTATCGTGCTCTCTCCTTCCACGACCAAACCCGACCAGACCACGTGTCGTTCATTTCTGAAATTGTATCTGGACACCAACGACATTGACTATCAACTACGACCAGAGGATGTTGCCTACGCCCAAGATATTGTTCTTGGTGCGATGACTATGAAGCTCCGACTGTACTGGCAGTCGTTTCAAAACATGTTGATTGAGGGGGCTACTCGAACACCATACACCTGTTAGCTACACTTTCTCGCTTTCAACTATCAGTTTCTTCTCCGCTTAGTGACAACAATGTACCATTTAAATTCCGACACAATATGCAGACTCACTAAGCTTCACGATGGTTCTTATCAACAAGAAGTATCCTCTGACGAGCTCATATTTGCGGATCATTCTTTGTACTGTCGCGTATATTCACCAAAAAGTTGGCAGGGGCTTACACAAAGGGCAGAAGAAAGCATGACCCATAGAAAAGAGAAACTGAAGACTCGCTTTTTTGGTACAAAAAAAGATTTTTTTGCTAGCACATTTCTGGACGGAGCAGCCGAGCTACAAATACAAGTGGATGGAATGGTCAAACCGACTGGTGTTTAAAAGTGGTAAGCCAAGAACAGCAGACTATCAATTTGGCGAAGGTTACGCACTGGACCACACAGCGACGTCACGAAGAAGAGTTCTACCGTTCTTAAATTGACCGAAATTGTATGAAATAGTACCAACATCTCGCGTTTTTTTCCCCTAGTGTTATGAATTACAGTAGTTGGGGCGATCAAATTGGAATTAACGTCCTTCCTCATTCTTAAACTAAAATAAGCTTGCTTTCAGTAAACCGGTAGTCAAAGGTGCTGCAAGGATCACTAGCACTGCGAGACACATTATCCCCCCCCCCCCCAATCACAAATGCCATCACTGCATCGCCGATCTTTAACCAATAGCCTCTAGAATCAGCGCTTGTTTTTATCCATCTACAGGTGAATACTCTTCGACTACCAGGCCAGGCATCTGGTTGACTGGAGTAATTGTAGTTAAACGTGCCGTGTTTATGGTTCCAGTAGGCGAGTAGGAGATTCTGAACATGGATGGCTCGCAGTTGTTTCAACCGTTTGTAGCAACCTGACACGTGAAAGTGGTAGGCGGTGCCGACTACGACTTGAGTCTCGATACTGTCGACGTTCTTGAGACAGAAACTAGCTCCTTTGAAACTTTGGTAAAGCACCTTAAAGATAACGTCTTTCAGCTTACTTGCACCAGGTAACATGTTGAGCGGGGTGGAAGTAACCACGAGAACCGTGCCAGCAAGAAGGGTGAGAATTGAACGAAGAAATAGCATAATTTATTTCGATGTAGGATCGTGTATCTGCTGGTGGTTGATGTTCGTCGGAGAGAATTGGGAAATGAGAAGCATTGTAGTACTTGCGTGCCTCCATGCGGAAGCATGATCCACGAGTCCGTATTCTTATCCACTGGGTTTGGATTCGGTTTGCCTACTTGCGGCTTTTGGTGGTGCCTCATACTGAGACTATCCTCTACACGTAGACGCATTTCATACTATTGTGCGTAAATCGACGAACGGATGACAAGCTTGCTGCCTAGACGCTGGTACACAACCGTACACGCGGACAGCTTCAAACAAAGGGGACGTCAAATGATTTCTTGTTGGTGAATGTGGTCATGCAGCCCCTAGGTCTGCCTTTGAGCTTAAATAGAAAATTACAGGTGGTTCATTCTCGCGTCACATCATTTAAGCCCATTGAGGTGTTAGAAACATAGATCCATACAGTAGTGCCTCATTTTTTACGAGTTGTATTTGATCGACAACCTTACAGACTCTGACGATGATACGGCAACACAACTCAACCAACATGTTGTGAACGACTGCCCGTACAGTCGAAGCTTGATAGCCATCGCACCGAGAGCAATATCTTGGACGTCGACTTAATGAATCTATGACTTGTTGAAAAAAAAAAAATCTCTCAAAATCACTGAAGGTAATTTTCACTACTGGCAAAAGGTTTTCCTGCATGACGGTGCGTCCTCTTGAGGAGAAAGCTAATCGAACACCATGTAATCAAGTAACTGCGTAAGTCTAACAACAATATATGAATTTATTTTCGATTGCATTGTTACCAATTTTCATCATGTTTAATAAAATAGTTGTATACCAAGTTGCAGCTTTACTTTATAAAACGTAACCATGGACAACACAACGCCGGCTATTTTCATAAGCTCCCACAACACATATGCAGTAAGAATTGCGAAGTCCAAAGTAGATCGAATAAATAAATACCTGTTCTAGAAAGATATCAACGATTTCGATGTACTGTTACAAACTACATAACTAGATCAGTTGTAACAGCCCTAGAATCATCACGAGAATCCAACTGGAACAGACAACACTAACTGGAAACACTACGAGTCGACCGTCAACAAGAAAGACAAAATATTGTTGCTTGGCGTTGGCTTGGAGCCACGATAATTTTAACTTAGGTCTACCACTCTTAGATACCTGTAGCAGCTACTCTATAACTCGGTCCCGGTCGCTTCTCACCGCACATCATTTCTTGCTCTTTACATTATAGAGTTCAACGGTGCGATGCTTGGCGAATATCTTCACCGACCTCTGCAGACGAAGTCTCAGTTCCTTCACCTTAGAAAACTACTCGCTCTTAAACCTGGGTTTGTAGGATGTAGCTTAATTTCTGAATGACATTACCGTTAGCTGTAAACTTGTTGCAGTTTAAAGGATCCAGCCGCGCTACGCAAAACAAAGAGGGCTACAGGATATAACAGACAAGCGTGTGAGAATGGCACATGGTCGGTATCCAGAATTGAGCAATAATCCGATGCTGTGTCGCTTTATACATCGTCGATGAAAAAGGTATTTGCATTCCAATTAATCCATCTGAGCCACTTCGACCTTAACAAAGTGTGTTCGATCTACTGCACGCGCTCATACGTAACTGTTTGCACTAAGCTCTGGTCCAGCGGTTTGTAGATAGTGAATTCATACTTGTCCGGCTCACAGTTGGTGCCGCACTGGCATAACACGGTGAACTTGTAGTTGGTACCGGCTACCACTTGCGTCTCGAGTTTGTCGACTTTTGGGTCGCAGCTAAGGTTAGACCTCTCAAATGCTTGGTTGAACATCTCCATGTCCTCCTCGGTGATTTCCTTCTCGTTAAAAGCACCGGGTAGGAAGGGTTGGGCAGAGGTAACCACAAGGGCCGTGCCAGTGAGAAGAGTGAGGATGGAGCGAAGGAATACCATAGTGATGGCGATGTAGTCCGGGAGAGTGTCGTTGCTGGTGGTTGGTCTTCGTGAGGAGAATTGCGAAATGAAAACCAATATGGCTCTCGTGAAGACATGGCTCTCCTTCATATCCACTTGAGTCGGTTTGACTGCTTTCGGATGTTGGCAGTGCCTATACGCTTGACGAACATCTCCATGTCTTTCAATTTGTCGTGCGGTCCATACTGCCTTGAGGCTATCATACACGCTGACGGAGGATGGTTTATGCGATACATCCCAACAATAAGGCAATCTACCGCGCTTGACGAGTGAGCGTGGGTACTATTACTTCTATTCTGTGGCAACCCCCACAGGCTAGCGATTATGGATTGTGTAGGCGCGTCTCACCTTACACTGCTCTCTCATTGTTGGAAAAAAATCTCACTCTCGTGCCACATATCATTTAAGTCTCACCAAGCACTGAATACATTAGGAGTATGGAGTAGTGTCTCAGTACAATTTCTAAATAAATTTGAATTTGATCAGCGACGTTACGATGCGAAGAACTCACACCCGAATTATGCCGGGTGTTGAAAAAGTATTGATTCCAATAAAGGATGCTCAATCGAGAGATGCGATCGCAGGTAATGTGAATGGTACACTAATGATGCTAGGCAAAACTCACCAACAAACTTGAGGTGATCAGGTAGTCCAGGAAATGTACACGATATCGCGCTTTCCACTAGAGAATCTTGTTCACCAAAATGAGGTGCCAAAGCAGCGAATTCATGACTACCAGGTGGTAAACCGGTGACTGTTCTACCAACATGCATGTCTCTGGCAGCTTCATACCGGAGGTAAGTGTTCTGGACTCCGTCTAGTGACCATCCTGTTCGAAAATGAACTGCTGTTGACGATAGGCAAGCCGTGGATCCTGATGCATAGTAGGTAGCGGCACCTTTGCGCATCGAATGCGTACCTAACTCGTCTTTACCAATTCCACGACGTCGTAATTCTTGTGATATATCTTCAGTTTCAAAAAGCCGATGCAAACATTTTCTAAAACGTTCGTACTGGTTTTTTCCCGGAAAAAGTCGATCAGTGTCGTCAAAAGATGATGTTGCCCAAAAGATTGCTAGCGCCATCACCGGACAGATAGAAGGCGTTAACGGGTTAGCGTAGACGTGCCTGGGATCTCGTGGTCTGTTACCTTCTTGGTCGTTTTTTTTGATGCGCGAAATAGATACACAACGCATCCCCGCTCCATTCCATGCGCCCAAGGCGAATGCCGAAAGCATTTGCCGACCGGCACATCAAATTCCAAGCAATGATCATATATGTACGCGCAAAAGCCATGTCCTTAGATGGATTCACGAGAAGCTTCTCACACAAGAAACTTTACAGCTCAAATGAAAAGGGATCCTTGCCAGTCTTTGCGCTAATTTCCCCTTGCGCAGCTGCTTTAACCATCTGCCGCTTTAACCCCTTAAAATACTTGTGAAGCTCTTTCTCCATTGTTGGTGGAATCTCTCGCCCATAATCCCGATAGAGATTGAAAAGCCCAACTTTGTGTGTGTTTAATGCTGCGTAGCTGAGGCAACCTCCGTCTGGTTTCTCCAGCGTGAACAGCCAAGCACCAAACACAGAGGTCTGTACATCATCAAATAGTAGTGTGCGTGTGTGTGTGTGTGTGTGTGGGGGGGGGGGGGGTTCTCTGGGTTACGGTCGAGCACGGCCTTCAGTCGCTTGCGAAGTTGCTTTACAGTGAGGATTGATACATCGCCGAGTTTCTCCGCAAACGTAGGTGGAATAAGGCGGGGTTTATAGCGAACCACCCATGCAATAAAGCGTCCATATGAATTCTCGTACACCGCGACCGTGCGCTCACCTTATTCCGCTGTATCTCCGTAACCTGCTTCTCGAGCACGTCAAAGTCGACATCCACCATGGTGGAGAGGCTTCTCTTATGTGACTGTTCAGCTTGATTACGGTGGCGATGCGGACAAGTGTCCTACGAACAAGTGAAAAACGACGATTTTCTGGCTAAAACTGAATCCTATACTAAAACTGGCTCGCTGCGATTTTCATTTGGAAAATCTAGGACCTAATGTCCGAGAAGGCATGGGTACATGTCCTGGAGAATGCTGGTTATCCGAGGATATAAAAACGCAAGCGCCGTAAAGCGATAAAGTTAAAGTCAACAACAAAATTCTGAATTGAAGTGGTTATTTTTTTTCTTCAAGACTTGTTTTTATCATTGAATTTGCAGCTTCCGCGTTCTATTTACAGCAGTGTTTAACGGGATGGATGAGTCTTCTGATCTTCTTCGCTTTGAATGTGGCCATCCGATATTCTTCTTGTTGGTGTTAAATGTCACCCAAATATCTTGCGTTTCACTGTTCAGTGTAAAGGAGTATATCGAATAGATCGTCGAGTTTTCTTCTCGGCTTTCACCACAAGTGATGCTGAAAATTATCTGTTTTTGTAGATCCGAATGGACATGAAGATACTTAATTGGTACTGCTCAGCGCACCATGTCCTCAGATGCGCTTCCTCGGTCTGGAGGCCGGCCTCTTCAGTTCACGCGACGTACAACGCGTCATCCCCCAATCTGCTGTGTCTGGATGAATGATGTCCAAGCTTCACCATGTTTGCTCTCGTCACCGCCGGGCGTTTCACCACAGTAGTATTGTCTCCTGGCCTAAGTCGATTCAAGATGTGACTTCGTGGTGTTGAGTGCCGCTGACTGAATGCTGAAACAGCAACAAAATCGATCAGTTTTATAATTCGGGTCGTCAGTAAATCACAACGCGACGACATAACACATATAATAATAGAGGTATTTAGCAAAACCGAAAAAAACGCTATTTCCAGTTTAATCATATGACTTTTCACCTAACCATAACCGAACAGTCCTAACTTTCGGTCGAACAATTCAAGTGAAACCGGACGAAACAGCGCTTTTTTACGGCATGGAGTGTTGCAACTAAAATCACTCCTCTTATAGCGTATTTTGACGCCTCGAGAAAGCTCAGCAGCAGCTTCACGTACACCATGAATGCAAACGAGGCCCACATGCTTGACAGTGAGTTGGCTTACTACGCTCGATCGCTAACAAGAGAAGTGATACGGAATTGTAAGGACGCATACCTGCTGCAACGCTGGATTGCTGCACAGAACACGAGCCGTCATGTCGAAGTATCAACTCTATTTGCGAGCTTTCGTCTCGATTCGTCCAGCAAATACGAGTGGGTACGACATTGAGGACTTCTTTTGGCGATCGTAGTGCGGTCTCTCAAACATTTTCTTGAACATTTTGAAGCTTATAGAGGATACTAAACTTGCGATGCTCTCTGTTTCACTCTCACTAATCCGTTCGTCCGAAGGCGAGTGTTCCGAGCCGTAGTTTGCACGTTGCAATCTTCGGAGATTGCTCTCGTTGGTGAGGGCAGCAGCACTGTTAGTTTGATCCTCTTGCTTCTTAGCCTTTGCCGATTCTTGGCCTTCTTCTCGTCTAAATACATGCGCTCGAGTTCAACGTAGTCACGGGCGAGTCCATTTAGATCGTTGTAGTGACATTGGATATTGACTGCATGAAGGTCTTCTTCTACACCACTGGCACGTGCGGATGATAGTTTGAATTTAGCCTTGAGCAGATTGAGACGATCGCAAACTTGCTTTATGTTGAGTTGAACCTGTATGGCACTAGATACTCCTTTGGCAACTTCCTTTAAGACATGTCCTGTCGTACCTCGCTTTGCTGAGAAGGGCTTGAGGCGGATGAGCTCCCGCATTAGCTCTTGGTCGTTACTTAGAGATAAATGGTGAAATACTGAGCAAGGCATGGTTCGAATTTGACTCCAAAATTGTGCCGCGTTAAAGGCGACTGTAATCTAACAACTCCTACCGCATCAGGCGCGCACCCTGACGCCACAAGCGCCTGTCCTCAGTGGCGCATGGGTGTGAACCCTTTGATCAAGTTTATATTGGCTTCGGGTGCAGACGATGGGTGCGCACCCATAGCACTGCATGAGTAGTTCGCTAGCCTAGGTAGTAGCCAGCAGAAGCCAGGATTTATCTCATTCAAATTCAATCAGTTCACATTTTACTTCGAAGGACTCAAGTAGCTACGGCATTTTGAAACGTTTCAAAACCAATCGACCCGGTTCACCCGTCGGCCAGCCTACAAAGATGAGCGACTCTGTCAAGAAAGATGACAAGGAGCGCTATCTTACGTACTCTATCACAGTACGCCCTGCGAATAAGGAGAAAGACATCACCGAAGAAGTTGTGACGAAGAAGATGCCGAAGTTCATCGACGGAGGCCCCAAGGATTTCCTTGAGTGGGTCTACCACTTCAAGCAGCTTGCTAGCCTCAAGCACTGGAGCGCTGAAGACACGTTTCTCAACGCTACTATTCTTCTTGAAGGAGATCTTCACGAGGCATTCGAGGATGCCGCCTTCAGTGACGACGACGTGCGTATGGACGAGGAGTTCAATCGTGCACTCTACAAGGCGTCTATTGTAGTTCTACCAGTTGACTACAACGAGAAAATCCAAGAAGAACTATGGGAAATCCGAAAGACACGAAGCGAGTCTTTAGCGGACTACAGTAAACGATTCCGTGCCTTGGTGCGCATGGAACACACGCTGGCAAGACTCTCGGAGAGCTCACCAATGAGTGACGATGCGTTGTGTCGTCTCTACAAGCGTGGTTTGCCGTACGAATGGTAGAACAAGTACGATGCAAGCGGACAGGTGTACTCTACAGTGGCTGCTCTTGTGCCGTTCTTTGAGCGGATTGAACAGGGCGAGCATCGACTGCATCGTGGTGATCGTAGTGGTACTGCTGAGAGACGTAACAGCAACCAGAGTAGCAGCAACCGCAACAATGGACGACGTCCTGCCAACAGCAATCGCAACAATCGTCAGCAACAGCCCCGAGGTGGAAATCGTGGCCGAAGTAACGGCAATGGTAATTCGAGCCACTCGACAAGCAATAAGTACTGCACCTTTCACCGGACCACGACCCACAATACGCAAGAGTGCCGTGCCCTCCGTCAAGACGCCCCTCAGGACGAGCACCAGCAAGCTGAGCACCGACGCGGCCCACGAGTTACTCAACAACAACAGCGAGGTCCGCAGACACGCGTGGAGCAACGCCAACCTGGGACAGGAACCTCAAGCGATGACGAGTATTTGTTCGTTGGAGTTCGCACGCCACCGACCGACAACACGCCGCCAATGCGTGTTATGATCAAGCTGGAGTCGGGCAAGGAGAGATACCAGGCTCTTCTGGACAGTGGAGCTTCTCGAAGCATTGTCAGTGCCGAATTCATGCGCATATTGAAAGCTAATGGATCAGAGCTTGAAAGCTCCGCTGTATCCTTCAAGTTGGTAAGTGGAGATACTGCGAGTTACGGATCAATTATGGTGCGCTTCCGGATTTCTCAATTGAAGCGCGACGCTGTGATTGTACACAAGTTTGAAGTGCTGAATTTGTTACCCGACGATATGACTATTGGTCGTGACTTGATGACTGCCCTTGGTCTCGTCATAGACTTTAAGAATGGCCGTATACAGTGGGATGGCAATGAGTTAGTGGTTCGCACGACGAGTGCTCCTCTTGCTGAACATGTCGACCCCAATGAAGAAGAAGTACGTGCAGATGCAGAAGAACTGCTTGCAGGAGATGAAGTGGACGTCTCGCCATCAGATCTGCTGCCTCCGCACTTGGAAACAGCGTTGCAACACTGCTATCTCAAGTTATTGGAGGAATATTACGATTTGTACAACGGGAGACTCGGACGTATACGACTGGATGATTATATCCTTCCTCTGCGTGCAGACTACACTCCTTCACACTCAAGACCGTACAGCGTACCTCGCAGTCAAGAGGAGTCTGCCAGACGACAAATACAAAGCCTAGTGGAACTCGACGTAATCGAGCAGATCTACGGGTCCGAAGCAGCAGCGCCTGCCTTCTTCTTGGTCAAGCCTAACGGCTCACTGCGACTGCTAGTTGACTTTCGACAGTTGAACAAGTTTTTACGTCGATCTCCGTATTACGTACCAAAGATACGCGAGATTTTACTACGACTTGGGAAGGCTAAGTGTATGAGTACCCTGGATGCCAATATGGGGTATTTCGCTCGGCGCCTAGCGCGCCAAAGTCGCCCTATTACTGCCTTTTGCCTTCCTTTCGGCAAATTCCAGTTCAAGAGACTTCCTATGGGCATTTCGACAGCTCCTGACGAGTATCAATCGAGTATGGAACGAATTCTTGGAGATCTCGCTTTCGTCATTGTCTATTTGGATGATATTCTTATCTTTTCGGAGAGCGCAGTGGATCACCTGAAGCACCTCCGCATTGTGTTCGAGCGCTTACGACAGTACGATGTGACTCTGAACGCGAAAAAGTGCCACATACTTCGAGAACAAGTAGATTATCTGGGCTTCACGCTGACCGCTGACGGTATTCAACCGCAGGCAAAGAAAGTCGAAGCCATTCAACAGATAGCAGAGCCTTGCAACAAGAAAGAATTACGAAGGTTTCTCGGGATGATCTCGTATTACCGCGAGATGGTGCCAAACAAGTCATCACTGACTTCAAGACTTAATAGGCTCACCTCAAAAAATGTTCCGTTTGTCTGGACTCCAGAGGATTCTGCTGCATTTCAAAGTATTAAGGCAGCACTCGCTCGTAACGTGTGGTTGGCATTTCCTGACTACGCACGTCCATTTCACGTCTTCGCGGACGCTTCGGGACGTCAAATAGGTGGCATTATTCTGCAGGGCAAGCGGATACTTGCCTGTTTCTCGAGATCGATGACTGAAACACAGCGGAGATACTCAACGATGGAATGGTAGCTACTGTCTGTCGTGGAAATACTGCGAGAGTATCGTACAATGCTTTTGGGGTTTCCTATCATCATCCATACAGACCACAAAAACCTGCTGTTCCCACGCGAGAACTCGCTCCGTGTCAAGCGCTGGAAAATATTGCTGGAAGAGTACCGCCTCCAAGTCGAATATGTGCCTGGTGCACAAAACGTGGGTGCAGATGCATTTTCCAGACTTCGGTACGACTTCGTGAAGCAGGTTGCAGAGGAAGAATTATTTGCAGTGGACGAAGAAGAAGTTGCTATCGACGGAAATGTCCTGAAAAAGTACCAACTCGAAGATGCTACCTGCAAGGAGATATTTGCTCGTTTGGAAAAGAACTCTGCAGATCCCGATTATTCGCTTCGACCTGCTCTCGGTGTGGTGCTACTACATTACCGCAAACGCGTGGTAGTGCCCGACACTTTGCGCGATAGCTTGGTTGAACTTTATCACGATTATTTGTTGCATCCCGGCGCTGATAAACAGCATCAATCCATGGCTACGTTCTGGTGGCCAGGAATGGAGACTGCCGTCACCAAATTTGTGAAAGACTGCACAGACTGTAAGAAGGCGAAACTACACGGCGGAAAACAGAGCTACGGGCATTTACCACCAACTCCCGCTTCAAACACTGACCGTCCATTTGACGTTGTTCACGTCGACCTATTGGGGCCAATCGCAGAGGATTATTACTGTCTGACAGCAATTGAACAGCAATTTCGCTGGTTGGAGGTGATTATCCAGAAAGGAAAAACTTCTAGTACTACATCCATCAGCTTTGAGCGCGTCTGGCTTTGCCGTTATCCGCGACCGAAGTTTGTAGTGCACGACCAGGGAACAGAGTTCACCGGCAATGAATTTCAAGTGTTACTGCGGTCATTGGCAATCAAGAGCAAGAGAATTACGTCGAAGAATCCGCAGGCGAATGCCATTTGCGAGCGTGTGCATCTCGAGATAATGAATATCCTGCGCGTTCGTCCGGATTTGCACAACCAGCTGGAGGTGGCATTGGACTATGCAGCTTACGCGATTCGGGCCAGTTACCACTCAGTGCTTCGCGCATCCCCGGCTCAGCTACTGTTCGGCGAGGATATGATCACACGCCAATTGCATTTTTCAAACTGGAATTTCCTGTCAAAACAGCGCTTCATGGCCATCATGCAAGACAATGAACGAGAAAACATGAAGCGGCTACATCACTTTTACCGTGTGGGCGATCTCGTGATGCTTCGTATCCCGGCACGCGAAAGAAAGAAAACGGATCCCGTGTCTAGTGGCCCGTTCGTCATCAAGACAGTCTTCGACAACGGAAATGTTACACTTGATACCGGAACCACCGAGTATCGTGTCAATATTCGACGTATTTTCCCGTGCTGAAGCCGACAACCACCGAAATCCTGGCATGGGGGAGAATAACAACTCCTACCGCATCAGGCGCGCACCCTGACGCCACAAGCGCCTGTCCTCAGTGGCGCATGGGTGTGAACCCTTTGATCAAGTTTATATTGGCTTCGGGTGCAGACGATGGGTGCGCACCCATAGCACTGCATGAGTAGTTCGCTAGCCTAGGTAGTAGCCAGCAGAAGCCAGGATTTATCTCATTCAAATTCAATCAGTTCACATTTTACTTCGAAGGACTCAAGTAGCTACGGCAAATCGGCTACGAGCAACAGGAGTACCACCCCATGTAGCTATCCTCGGCAAGATAAAAAAACAGCGCTAGACACAGGTATGAAGACAATTGAACACGTCGACGAATCACGAGTAGCTACTGCGAGGGGAATAATGAATGAACTTGAGAAGCGAGCAGTTGGAGCTGGTGTAGTAACGTATGATGGACTACAAACAGCCCTCCTGCAGTGTCTCCAATCTACTGGGCTCACAAACCTTGCTGAAAAGCTAAGCAATGGTACCAAATCAACTGTAACAGTGGAAGACGACAATCAAAAGCGACTCAATGACGCGCGGTATCTCAGACCAGCATCGAAAGTGAAGCAAAGCGTACCGGGTTGTGGCAAGCCAATCCAACCCACGAAGACGCAGTAAAAATATTCACCAGTTGCGCAAGCATCGCCACAATTCCTAAACGAACTGCTCAACGTCGAGAGCGCAGATCCGGTCAACTGAGCTGGACCACCGTAGTAGCACTGCATCGCCGCTATAACAGACAGCAAAATCACGAATGATACGATTGGTTCATCCCTTCAGCATGGCCTGCTCCTCATTGGTTGAAATAATTGCTTTTGAGTGTCCTAGAAATGTCCTAAAAATTCCGTCTAACAAGCACTAACCTCGCGTAAGGAATTGTGCAAGCAAATGTTGGATAATCTGAGGTCTAAATCTTAGCAACAGCTTCGGACACTTCTAAAATTCACAAATGTAATCATCTTATCTATGTAGACTTTGATATGGTAGGCACAAAGCTATCATTCAAAAAGAATAATACTAGTTTTCTTTAGCTGTGAAAAGTTGCCCGTCTTGACCAAGATCGCAGTGATAAATCGTTAACAGTGTAAAGGATTACCGCGTGTTATAGTTGCGATATGACAATCTATAGGTGAGCCTCAATTTGCGAGTTTTGTACTTCGGCTACCGACGGCGAGGCGTTTAATTCGCGGCTGTAATCGACGTCACCTCTAGCGTGTTAGTCCATGGCTGTGAGTAGATGACAATGTCGTATTTGGACGAGTCGCAGTTGAGGTTACTGCACGCGCCCAGCTCATTGTCCGAGTTGACGTTGCAAGCTGAGACGTGGAACTTGTAGTTGGTGCCAGATACGACTTGCTCCTCGAGGCTGTCGACATGGAGATAGCAGATGCGGGCAGTGACGTCGGGTTTGTATGTGCTCGAATTGCCCTGAGCTTTCTGAAGCAACTCCATGTCCTCCTCGGTGACTTCTTTCTTCGAGTATGCCCCGTCCATTTGGGCAGATATGGTCACGAGAGCCGTGCAGGCGAGAAGAGCGAGACAGGAGCGAAGAGCTGCCATGATGAGGGCGAGGTCGGGTACGGTGTGTAGGCGTTCTCCAGGGAAAATTAGGAAATGAAGAATATGATGGCCTCTTTGCAATGGCGAAAAGGGTGCCGTGTGCAATCTTATCCACTGGTATTGTTTGATTACCAACACATGTAAGCAGGACTATCCTCGGCCTGTTTCAGACTATCTGCCAACGGATGGCAACGAGAGTTCGTGTGTCCACGTGGTGGAATCCACAGCAAAGAAAAATATGAGCAAGAACGATACGTACAGAATCGTAGAAGAAAGAGTGACGAAGGACGACAATCCTTGATGCTAAGGGGCTTGATGATGCAGATGGTTAGCACGCTGTGTTCGAACTGAGCGTTTGCAGATGATCATACACGACTTTCTAGGTGTTAGGAATGAATGCATCATCCTTGCGTTCTCTCAACGTATTGTAGTAAGACTATAATCAAAGTAAGAGCACGAACACAACAACTACCGTAAACTTGACGAAACGTTGGTAAGATTGCTAAGGCCGGGCTCTAACCGCGTACCTTGGCGTCATGCGTGCCATATTTTTCACAACACGAAAATGAAGAATCGCTCGTACCGCACCTGGAATATGTACCCTTGCGAATCTATTCCTTGGGTAGCCATTGCGCCCACGTCAACTTCTCTTTTCCCCAAATGTTCTTATAATGGACATAACTTGCCGAACAACAATGGGATTCGTATCCTTCTCTCTCGTTCTTTTCGTCGGCACTGCTTAATTGCAATGACTGTAATGTTTTAACAGAAGTATGTATTACTAATTAGTCAGAGCAATATTGATTATAAAGGCTACTAATTTTGCATCGGATATCGTGCAGATTTTTTCTGCTCGTGTCCGCCTCTGCCCCAAAGATGATCTGGAGCTCAGGAGGTTCAAGCACGTACGCCCACGACGAGTGTGCACAGCACTGGAGTCCATTGCCGTCACTGGGCGGCAACACAGAGTTGAGAACCGGGGAAAACTGATAATTCAGCTGATGACACGTGTCAACGGTTGGAAAATTGGATTGCTGGTGAGTATATCGCCGCTATCGCTATCGGAGCAGCCACGGCACTCGAAGCCGATGACGATATCATGAAAATCGAATTGATGTAGAGCAAAACCTCGGATACAAGATATAGAGCTTGGGTTTAAGAAGAATCTAGTCGGCATATATATTGTTCAAGGAGCTCGTAAGCTTCTCAATAGAAGACGTAGCGGCGTAATTCGCCTGAAGACGCTTTCCCAGTTGGTCGGTAATATCTCGCGTATCTTCTGAGATGGAATCCTCCATCATCTGTTGGAAAGCCTTCACTGCTCGGTCGTTTGAATTCGTCGTGAGGAAGGATACCGGAATCAGTCGAGTACAAAATTCCAGCACTGTCCCGCTCCTTGGTCCGTCATTTAACGGGCGGATCGAGATCATTCCAGTTTCGTCCATGTCCATTCCACTGAAGATCCCTTCACCCTCCGAGAAAATCTTCCATACGATGGCAACTCGGTTACTTTTAATGAATCGTCGAGACACGACGTGCCTCATGATCGACACGGTGGAACCGTTGGACAGTCTCTTCTGTACGCGGAACCGGACGGCAACCGTGTTGTCTGGGTCGGACACGGCGTTGTAGCCTTCTCGATCGGTTTGTCGATTAGTTATGGTCGCCAGATCCCACATGACTCGACATGTTTCATCGAGCGAAAAAGGCTGCAGTACTCTATACCGATGCTGAAAGAACTGCAGCTCTCCACTGGGTTTGTATCTATAGGAAGAGTCGAACATTCCTACAGACAAGGATCCGACCTCAGAGTCTTGCAAGATCTGGTCGATTCGCGTATAACCACCGTCCACCTCCTGCAGATACGTCGTATACAGCGATGACACAGACGACTTCAACCGAAGCCATTTGTGGTCGTCAATACCGTCATGGCCACCGAGAGAAAGCGACCTTGACGGCGCACAAGATGCCATTCTTATGCTCTCGATGTAGACACTCTGCGCGTTAACGATCCTTAAAAGAGTCTGGTGTTCAGCTTCTGACCGAAGGCGCTGCTGTTTCTGCTCCATTGCGATATCTTTCCAGAACGACTTGGACAGCACGAGGTCGGTCCGTGCGGTGGTGTTCCTCCCTTCTCGCGCATCGATCATCTCTTGTATTTTTCTGGCCAACTCGCCGGCTTTTTGGCGCAAATCGTCGCGTTCATTCTTTGATTTCAGACGATATTTCTTCCGTCTTTCATCAAGAGCTTCGTTCCGACGTTTGTTTGCTTTACACGGTGATTTCTCGATCTCGCAGGTGTCGTTTTTGTCATTATCGACAGGAACTTCGGTAGGTGAGACGACTGCCCAAGTAGGTGCTGTTTCACCACGTTGACTTTGCTGGAATCGTCCCCCGAAAGACGTGCGTGGGGTGGATACGACTGCGTGAGCCTCTGTCTCCAAAAAGGCGGACACTGCGTCGAGAAACTCCAGGTCGGTTGCCATGACGGAGTTTTTATGAATGACGTGAATATGGCACTGCGAGGGTTTCTCACGCCATCAGTGATGACATGTAACAAGTGGGATAACGCATGCATGTGCTCCACTCAATGTTCAAAAGTACGATAGCTGTTTTAATACTGGACTCCAGTCTGGAATTCTAATAGAGAATTCGCCGTAGGTTTTTTTTGATCACGCCAAAATGTTTAGTCACGCGACTGTATTACGATGATAAAGCTGTAAACATACAACAAATTCTGGAATTTTTAATTTATGGTACTTCTGCATGCTATTTTTTTATAGTTTGGACTTGCACACGTCATTAACACTGGATGGGGTTCTGCATGCTTCGCGAGTGTTGTTGGTCATGAGATCACGCCTCTGTTACCTAGGCTTGAGGGTCACACCAAGAACCCTGACCGAGTGACCTATGTGTCGATCCTCAATCCTGGGAATGCTTAAATGGCGACGGTTCTCATGTACTTTTCTGCCTACAAGATTCATGTGCATACCTGCTCGGTGCTTTCATTTTATTTTGTGAAGTTCAAGCAGGCGTAAATTTTAATTAACCGCGTAACCATGCCCGTCGAGGTGACAGCCCCACACCTTACAGCTGAGTTGGTGCCTCCGTATAGAAAAGTTCCGCCGTTGTAGTGCAGCCATTATACAGTCAATAAACCGAGGCATGATGGCCACTTACAAAACAACTAATAAGTAGTGCCTGTTCCCATTGACCCCAAGCGGCCCAAATGCGGGCTTGTCATGAGCTTTTGAATTGGCTACTCGGAACTACCGGTTTAAGGAATGCAAGCTTATTTCTGTTTCTAAATTTGAAAAATTCTAAAAAGCGGGCTTGATTTACCAAGATCTCGCACTCCAAAATCTGCAGCCCCGACGTGCACGTCATTACTGACAAATGGGGTCCAGCACTGTACCCGTGTGTCGTTGGTCATGCGATCGTGAGTGAAGTGATGCTGGCTGGCTCCAGTGTCAATAACCTCCTCGTAAGCGACCGTGTCGGCGCTTAAGTCTGGGCGTGTTTGAACAGAACCGACTATGCTGATGATCAGGTCGCCGTATGCGACGAAACGGTGTTCACCTACTTTTCAGCCTACAAGGACGGCGCCAGTGGGTACGCCGACTACATCCGCTTGGACAGCAACTGCTCGTGTAAGATCCCTGACAACATTGTGTCGGACGTGTCGGCATCGTTACTGTGTCTGGCACGGCGGTATTCACTCCACTCAATCAAGAAGTACCGAAGCCTGGAGACGGCATCGGTGTCATCAGCGTGGAAGGATTGGAGGTACTTGACCATTCAGTTCATCCGTGTGCTTGGTTGGATCTATGCCTGTTGCTTTCTCCTGCTCTGCCGGCACAGAGAAGGAAATTCACGCCTTGGGAGCCGAAACGTTCTACGATCTCAGCGACCCAGAAGACCAGAAGAAGGCAGCGGCTGCGTTATCTTCATCATCTTGACCGCCAATGCCACCGACATGCCGCACAATTTACATCTGAGGCAAGCGAGGCGCGTTCATTATGGTGAGTATTCAAAAGACCAAGTCAGCGGTCCGTGTCCGGGGAAGTCAGGTCGGTAGCATCCCGGACATCAATAAGATATTGGAGCTGGCATCGAAGGAGAATTTTCGTCCAGACAGTTAGAAACTGCCGTTAGTCGAGGTGGACGAGGGTCTGGAAAAGACTCGCTAAGGCATCATGCGCTATTAATACAACGTTGGAAACCTAGGTAGGACGACTTTCAATGCACTACTCAACAGTTCAACGTAGCCTACACAATTGTCTCGTTTCTCCAGTCTTGAGGTTTCGGCAACAACGCAGAGTTCCACAGGTACGTGTTGAGAAAGCCACTGTACTCAGTACTCTCAAGAATCCTCACAATAGGTTAGCTCCTTCACTAACGGCGCAATATTCTCATGAGCGGGCACAATAATAGCCAGCGGCTGACCTAGAGCGATGTTGCTGGAGCCTCGTTAATCACTAATCCAGGAAACACCAGCGAAAACCAATGAAAATGTCAGTTTGCATAATGGCAGCTAATGATTATACAGTTGTACGGTGAATGTGCAGTACTCAACCTAGCCATCGTTGGTTTAAAAAAAATGGTGAGAACACCTCAACAGTACCAGAAGGTGATGCTTCCGTCTGGAATCAACATCACAGCCAACCCTCCTCAGTCAACTCCTGATGCATTTTCGAGTGGCTAGCGACCGGAAAAGGTGGCGTTATCCTAACCCGTTTACTCACCGACTTATTCTTGGACGAAAGTTGTCGTTTCGGAGATGGCGTGTACCGTATCGTCGTAGTAATAAGCGTCGTTAATTTCTAAGGATCAGTTGCAAAGGGTCCAATCAGAACCAGCTATATTTTGCAGATGGTTTCGTTAATTACTGAAAGAGCACGTTTATTTTTAGACTCAGTGCAGGTAAAACAACACACCACAATAAGTCAGACCTTAAAGCACGCTAGCCAACCAAGAGAATCATGGGTCGTCCTCGCATAAATGGCCAAGGCAAAAAAAGCCAAAGTCATATCAATGCACGACTGTGGAATTTGCTCACGACCGTAATGTTCTCAGCTACATTGAGGACGTCACACCCTTGATGAAACCCTTAAAGACTTCTATGGCGAGTTAAAGGGCAATGAAGGTCGGGCTAAAAACAAAAAAAAAAACCAGATCAATAAGTGGACGAAGCAGACAGCAGCAATTCGCGCTACATGTGAATTCGGCCGGGGACATCATATCAATCTGCCCAGTCTTGGCGACGCGACTGTACTGAGCAAGGATGCCGAAACTTCCATCGTTTTTTAGTCGAACTCTTTGAGGAAGGAAGGGCCCCAGCCTCCCGTGTCATGTTACAGCTCCACGCTAAAACATAGCGGCTGAGGTTGGACTTGAAGACAAATTCGCTGCAAGGTCGGCATGAATTAAGCTATTTCTTCGACGCCACAAACTTTCACGTTGGGCGTGTACATGACAGGGACAAACGATGCTAGATGACGCCTATGAGGCTGCAAAAGTGATTAGGGCGCAGGTTCTACAGGCAATTGTGGAGAAAAACTGCGTACAAGTTTACAATGCAGACCAAACGGGTGTGGATTTATTATTTTATTTCTTAAGCTATCATTTCTAAGCTTTTTTTTTTTTACTGATAATAATGTTTTTAGCGGTGAACTACGAGTATATTCCGAAACAAACTTTCCACATTTCACCCAGACAGTTTTAACTCCACGCTCGGATATAAAACTGTCTGGGTGAAATGTGAAAAAAAGAAGCACGAGCGACCGCCACGCTCTTAGCAGAATGGGAAGGTATCAAATTGCTAACTTTCTGGTGTTCAAGATTGCTCCGTCCACGGTTAAAAAAAAAAGCGTCGTGAATGACACGCAGCGTCACGGATTCGGTTCGACTATGGGAATCGCGAAATTCGGCCTTCGCAAAAGCGTCACAACTGCCAAATTTACGGTAACCAATGTGCTTGGTGGAATTCAGATTTATCCGTGGAATTTCTAAAATTTCATTTAGCCAAACTCCTGACGATAACATTCTATTGTTACGGGGCGACATCAGTGGTCCAGTGACCATTGAAGTCGAGCGATATGCACCATCTATCAATAATGTACTTCTTAAGATACATTATTGATAGATGTATGTCTGCCAGCCAGCAGACATATCGTGGAATAAGCCTCTAAAAGCTACTTTTCGAGCTCTGTGGATTAATCGCCGACATTGAAGTCGAGCGTCTTCTGACAAAGCATAAAGAGGAGCCGTTTACTTTAATGCCGCCGAGTCGAGCTGACATCGCCGAGTGGGTGTCGAGGCTCTCCCCAAGCAGAGCTCCGTTTTTCGGAGCTCTGCTTTTTGAAGAATGAAAAACAAAAAGCACTTTATTTAAAAATATATATTTGCTTCAACTCTCGACATAGGTACTCTTACTCCTCCTGCTGTGGGTGCCGCTGCACAGCCTGTACGAGTCCGCACATGAACTCACCGGGAGAGGCCATCGTTGGAAAAAACCACGACCTCCACATGTACTCGTCGATGTAGCCATCCAGGTACTGCAGCCGCGCATCGCCGTGATGTGACATTTGATGTGCATTTCCCACAACCCCTCAATAGTGTTCGTATGCGTACCCGAGACAGGGTCCACAAAATGGAGAGTGTGATTCACCCAACTGTGCTCGTAGTGCATACTCGCCAACGTGCGAGTCCTAGTAGTAAAAAGCACACTTAGTAATAATATTTATGAAATAGAGGTTTACGGTACTCACCGAGGTCTGATGAACTGCTTGATAATCGGCAGCAGAGTGGCCTTCGTACGCTTGTCGTACACGATGCGGCCGAATCACCGCCCTGTCGTTCTGTCGACACCTCCAAAGAGCCAAAATTCTTGGTAGGTGCGTCCGCGGCCGTACTTCGACTTTTTCTTTAGGCTTGTTTCATCAATCTCGACAATGTGCCCTTCACCTCCAATCTATACAGTAAAACATACAAAATTAGAGCAAAAACGGTTTAACAGCACAACAGTAAACTTACCTTAAACTCGCCACTCCAAAGCTCTTTGGAGCAGAGGACGCGACATGCAGCGTACCATGCTGGCGCCGTATTCTCGCTGACCTTGGCCATGTGCGCTGCTTGGGGCTGGGGTGCTCGCATGCACCACGCAAACATCAGCCGCAAGGCCTGGGAAAGCTCAAGCTTCATCTTCGAGAACCAAGAGTTCACGAAGATGCTAAACTGCTCTTGCTTCCCATCGGCGTGGCGGGTCTTCCTGCAGCACCGCCAGTAGCGATTGCGCGCGTTCAGCCGCATGGGCTGAGCGCACTGAGGGCAGAGCATCGACCGCCCCAGCAGCCCCACCTCCATGGCCCACACGACTGCCTTGGACTCGTCGGTGGTCGCCTCCATGAGGGTGTGAAGTCAAAGTGGCGGAGCTGCTGGAGGCTGTAGTTGTGGGCCATGGCTGGCAGATTCCCGAATGAGAGTAAAACTGTAACTGAGAGTAGCCTAATAAACGGAGTTGAAAAATCTTTATATTAGTAGTTTGTATTCAAAGCCCAAGTTGTGACGTGCGAAATGCGCGCGAAAACGGAGCTACCACGTACTCTAGGCGTGAACACAGAAGCAAAATGTGTCTTGGTGTACTCCACATTAAATACTGACAACAAGTAAAAAAAAATGTCTTTCAACAAGAAAACACTTTTTGTTTTGCTTTCTTGATAAAACGGAGCTCTGCTTGGGGAGAGCGAGTATCGAAATCGAGCGGGTAGATAGTTGCATTGCCGAGGAAATTGGAGAGCTGTAGCCTAACTGACGGAATTGTTGGCTCAGACGACGACATCGAAGCCAATGGCGACTTCGCCAGCGATAGCGAGTAAAATATAGCGAAATTGATAGTATCTTTCTAAAATCAAAACTGCGATTTGCACAGATGTTGCTTCCCATGATTTGAAATGCATGCTATTCAACTGACGCTAATGCCTACGACGATACGATATGTAGCTCGTTTAGGCGGTTCTCCGGATTGAGCATCTGATGAGCTGGCAGAAGAAGACCCAACCCGACGCTTACGAGAGGAACTTATTAGAGGTCTTTAGGCCCATTCTCAACCGGCCCATGAGGCCGCATGCGACCAAATAATGGCATCTGATTGGGTAATTGGTCATGCGGCGAGAAGGCAGCACGAGAGAGAGAGAGAGAGAGAGAGAGAGAGAGAGAGAGAGAGAGAGAGAGAGAGAGAGAGAGAGAGAGAGAGAGAGAGAGAGAGAGAGAGAGAGAGATATGAGGAAACACTAATGACAGTCTTGAAAGTTATAACTTCAAATTATGTTTTGAATTCGGAATAAACGTACATGCATCGTACTTTGAATTTAACTAGGCAAATGTTAATCTGAATCCAGCGGACCTAGTTTTTTTATAGGCATCTTTGTAGACGTCAGAGCAACACCCAGACCTCAGTTAGTTCACGAGTAGCAAAACAAGCAACATATACTACAATAGCTCCAATACACAAACAATTCCATTGAAGTTCTTGCTCGACTCCATCTGTAGCTGGCCGGGCAAACCGTCCAGATGCGACCACAATTCCATTCTCAACCGATGCGGCCGCATAGGACATCACTATGCGACGCGGTGTGGCCGGTTGAAATGAGTCTGAGAAGAAATCACACGGTTTAGCTAGGGTTAGTTAGGGGTGTCTTCTTGATGTTACAGTAGACCTTGCCGATTTGCAGCAGCGCTTTTGTGAGGTCTGAGCTTGTAGGATGGTTTTAGTGATCGCACGGTCTTAATTTAGTTAGTTTGAAGTGCAAATGCAATGAACGGTGGGAGGCCCAATAGGGTATTCAAAAGCATATAGCACCCGGTACAATCGAAAGCCACATATGGTTGAAACGCGGCATCTCGTAGGACTCTTATTGGGTGATCATAGGCGGACGTCCACGAGGTTGTGCTGCCCGACCAACTAAGAAATAGCCTTTGTACATACCACAGATTGTGGCATTCGCTAAACTGTTCGGCAACGACAGTTCCGATAGCACGAGATGCTTGTTCACTGTTCCCTGTTTGGACTTTATGAACAAATGTCGGTTCGGGGTATAGTCGCAGTCCGAAACGTTTAGATTTGTCGTTTTCATCCAATCTGTCCAAAATAACTATGCTAGGGGTGTTTACAGGTCTTCAACCAAGTCGCAAAACCCCGGCCTAAATTTCGAGTAGATACCCCGAATAAGGCATTTGTGCAAGCCGCTATTCAAGTGAAGCGAAGGTGGATTCTCGGACATACATCATCCAGAGGGCTCTACGAAGACTAGCGTGGTGCATTATCCGGAAAAGCGTATCTTCCAGCCAAATACTGTGGAGTCGCCGATGAGCGCGCTGATCACGACCCCTCCACCCGCGCACTGGTACAAGAACCCCGTCCGCAAAGTCAACTGGGCATCACCACAGCCAGCCGGCGATGTAGTCTGCGAACGCGCAGATGCTTTCGAGATGGAATACTCAAAAGGGGTCCCAGAAGACAGCGTCGGGAAGTCATGACCGAGGTGCTCAAACGAATGGTGCTGTACAAATTCATTGTTGTCCTTGGTGGGAACGTTGTGTTTATCGTGAGCGCTTGTCCTTTGCCTTGATCATGGTGTGCGGCAAAGATGGTAAGGGCCTAACCTGGTGATACTTGAACGCTCGATAGAGACGCGGACACCGACCCTGGAGCCAGTCTTGCCAGTATTCAGGAAAACACCTGTTCTTCAACATCCAAACAGCAATCTTGAGCTTCGCGTTCCAGCCGTGAAATGGTCGTCTTAGCGTCTTCCAACTAGCTTCCACGATCTCGAACAAGAATGCTGGTCCTATCTCCTAGCCGGAGAAGGCAAAATCCGGAATAGAGGTTTCTGGTCGAATTCAGCCTTAAAGCTTTTGTATTCTACCCGAAGTTCCCTGACTAGCTGCATGTGGTACTGCACGAAGCTCGTATGTTTACACTTGAAATCGTCGTAATCCGGCTGAAGCTCGGTCAATGCTCGGCTGACATCCCTATCTGCAGCCCTGCAGAGAGTCACTTGCTGATGGCTACGTGTGAGTACCCAATGGACTAATGACATAGTGTAGAACAGTTTTTCTGCAAACCGTTCAGGTGGGAATATATAATATGAAAGCCACCTGACAGCGCATCATCTGAGAATGAACTCGAGCTCGCCCAGAGAAAGCGAATCCTAGCCAACCTATAGACGCAGAATCTTGTCATGGAGCTGGTATCGCCGACCGACCAGGTCATCAAGTTCTCTACATCCTGACCGAAGATCATGGGTGAGTCGGACCTGGCGTAGACTCCCAGGATGTACGTTCCTGAATAGCACGACACCAAGTTGGCAGGAGCGTCGACAATAAATGTGGTGACATCGGAAAGCTCCTTCGGATGCGCGACATAGCTCTCACACAAGCTGTTGCGAATCCCACGGGAGCCGACGTGACTCTGTAGAATCACGCCGGCCTGCATTTGACCGTCTACATTTTTCTTCATGGGCCGACTTGCCGTAGCTCTTGTGACACTCGTCTTGTACTCGCGTGCGGCAGCAGAGGGCTGTAGAACAACACTTGAACGAACGGAGGTCTGCTGTTGACGAGGCCCCACTGCTCGTGGCCCCCCTAGTCCGTCTCCTTATGTTACTAGATAAATTCCAGTGATGCCCTCGGAATTGCCCGCGTTGTCGCTGCCGACTTCGCGTCATTTGTCCTAGTCCCAGCGGCTGCAGAGCCTGTTTTGGACGCCGAGCTGCCGCCGTTGTTGGCTGGATTCATCGTATACGCAGGTAATGGCTGATTAGCGATGACGAGGCGCAGGTGTCGTCGTTGCGTGACGTGGCTATCGTGTATGCTACGTGAGCCAGATCGCTCCGTTTCGCTGATGTGGATATGATGGAGAGAGCGCCAGCAACGAATCCGACTGGGAAAGTACCCCGAGAATTAACACAAGTGACGGAATCAGGCCCGTTGGGGAGATATCTGACTGAGATTCTGTCTACAATTATCCGCCTTGACATGATCGATCAATTCGGGGAAAAACTAAATAGGGTCATTTGGAAATAAGACCATTCCAGAAATAGGACGAGTTGTACGATTGTACCATCTGGTAGAATTTAAATCCGGATATCCAAATCTAAGATACTTGCATCAAACGGACAGAATGCAACTGCCAGTAAAAAAAAGGTTGAACTGATAGTTAAGCAGGATAAGGGTAAAAAACAGACAAATATAGTATAGGATATTTAATTGGACAAAATATTTAAGATTTATCTGGTAAATTAGTAAGTTTTAACGCAAAATTGGAGGCAATTTATTGTGCACCCAGAACGTAGTGTTCCCACGCTTGGATGGTTCTCTTGATGGTGGCCACCCTCTTCTTGCGTTCGCGCCGCCTCCCGCTCACTCATGCCTTCGGTGGCACGGAGTATCTCCCTTTTCTGCTTAAAGGTGTAGTGCTTACGCCGTTTCGAGGTGCTCGATGCGGCAGCACCAATTAGCGCTTCAACTGCATTAAGCAATGCGACGTCGCTTGCCTCGTCGGGGTCTGCGGTTGCCTCCATTTTACCTACTGAAAGGCTAAGAATTAATGTAGTTGGTCTATAATTTGATTGGCTAATATTTTGTTGACCGTACAGTTTTGCAGCGTTCGTTTTAGGATTTGACTGGCAGTTAGATGGCGGCAGTTGCATTCTGTCCGTAGCTGTATTCGCCATGTCTGTTGCACATCAGTGGGTCCGTTGCGATATAGCCATTCTTCAAATGGCATCCAAGCCATTCTCGTCCGTAGCAGATTCTGTTATGGATTGGCTGCTACTGTGGCTGTCGCAGATGCCTATTCCTGTGAGAGTGAAGGACTCTAGCTATCCTTACGCTTTTATGATGGAATATCCGTCTTACCCGAAACAACCATACATCCCCACATCTCGAATGCAATCAATCTAGCAATCAACCACATTACAACCCTCTCCAACCAACGCCAGCATCCTTTCAGCACTCATTCAATGACGCAGCTGAATTCATACTAGCTATGATCTACAACATGAATCTATCAAACCTGCTGTGTTGTCAGGTATGGATAGTTCAGTCCCGCCCGGTTGGCGAGAATGCGTCGTCTCCCAATAGGTTTGGGCAAGTAGTCCAACGTAGACGTTCGAGCGTCCAAGTAAATATTGAACAATTGCATTAGCTGCTTCTATCCCGACCGTTTTTGTAAGCCCTACCCTATTAGAAGCCGTTTGAAAATCGCACCGCACGCAAACGACCAGAGCCCACAGTGGTGTAGAGCACTTTGCCATCACCGGTACTTATGTACGCTACTGAGCGTTCTAGAATCCGTCTAATATAAAATTGCGTTCTCGGGTCCACTGTCAGTAAGGTGTCTCCACCACGAGTACTTTAAATTCCACCAACTACACGTGCCGTGTTTAACGCGTGGCCATTATTTCCTTAAAGCATTTTTCGGAATAGTGTCAAGTAATTCTGTTAGTTCATGCAGAGCTCCAGTTCTCCGGAAGCTATTCGCTCTTAACCGTGCTTGAAGTTTGCAGCCTCACAACGACAAACGCAAGACCGCGTAGCACGTGCTCGTACAATCAAAGTAGGGAAATTGCAATACCGCAAGGTTTCACTGCCATGTCCGATATTACACGGGTCTAATGCTCCTGGTGTTTGGTGCTATTGGAAAGAGCCGTTGAGCCCCATTGCGGCTTTTCGGACCGGGCGTAAATACTTCAGTCGACTTTTTACCTGTGTGATGAATTATTGAAGGTTTAGCCTATACTTAAGACGTCAATAAGGAGTATAAGGCCACTTGCTAGCGCTACAAACCAGATAAAAAAGTTCCGTTTTACGCTGTTTTCTAGTGTTCTGCATTGAAGGGGCGTTTTCTATGGAAATAAAACCGGGCCTCAGTTTAATAACGTTTACCTCAAACCCTATCTCCAAGAGACGCATTTAAACCCGAAACACCAGAGTCCAAATCGGGAATCGTTCTTCAACTCAAGTTTTTTTTTGGTAAAACTAGCCACCAGTACGCACGATTGTAAATTCTACCCCTAACCATTCTCAAAATTTATGGTTACAACCTGTAAGAACTAAATCAGAGCTTAAATAAGAGAAACACGATTATAGAGGGGGCTTCGCCCCAATTAGGAGTTTACTGCTCTATCTTTCGTACATCAATGATAAAATAGAGACGTGGAGTCTGTTTAGGACTTTAAATGGTTGGATCTATAATCAGATTAGACAATTGATGAGGTTTTTCACAATAATACCAGTACTTATTATTATTATTTTAGTAATTCTTTTTCAGTTTCTTTTTCGCTATGACTGCCACGCACGCCCAATAATCCCACATCCGGGACTAAACAATGTAACCTAGCTTTGTTTCACAAAATCTCAAGAATACCAACGTATATTATCGTGCCTCGTTGCAACAACGTAGCAGACGCAAGGAATAGTAGCAACTCATACTTGAATGCGAATAAATTACTTGCACAGTATCGATCTTCTTGTATGCTGTTTATGATTTTAGAACTGCGAACTTCCCGGGCTCTGCCATCCGAGACCCAATACATTATATAGTTGCCGTCATTAATCGTAACCGATTGTTCCATTTTTAATAGTAGACATTACAGGCCATGCTGCTGACGATCAGTCAAATACCCTTGAAAACATGTGATCAGCTTTTGAATCTTTTTACTCACAATATCACCGCCTTCTGTACCAGAGCTGCCTCAATCCGTAGACAACGGCCACGCGCACGCTCTTCACCTGCAAGTGGCAGTTGTTGTGGATGCATCAACTTGTTGACTCTGAGTATCGATGTGTCCAACTTTAAGTTAGCGAGATGTTGTCGTTGATTTACTCGGAAGGCAATTTGAACGGAGTACAGCTAATCATCTAGATACCCTACCACACTGTGCCAGGGGGCAGATGCAAGATTGGCAACCACTAAAGTCTTTACATCGAGCATAGACAACAGTTCATTGACTCCCAGCAAGGAATCGTTGTACTGTACAGCGTGTATGGTCCGAGGTCTTAAACCTCATCAGCCTCCTTGTCGTGTGATTGTTTTCCAATCTCATTCTTTCACCCGTATTGGAAAGTCCAACCTCTTCAATATGAGTTCTGTCATACACGAGCGTTTTGACAGGTAATACGATATAGTCAACTTGAATAATTAGCGCTTTATCATTACAATATAGATATGAAAGGATATCAGAATATAGAGGCTATTAAAAGGAGATGCACTGTGCAATATGCTACCGTCTGCTGTGGATCAGTCAGAAGTTCAATGTTTCCATGGAGCTCACGTCACCAACTGTTTCTTCCTGTTTACAGATGACCCAAGACACCCAGAGTTAAGTAAACAATACATGGTTTCACCATCTTACCGACAACAGATGTTGCTGCTGACCAAATTTGCTTCGACCCGTCGTGGCATAATCCAGTGCCACTTCCTCGATGAACGGAGACGACCTGATCACGTTGGATGAGGCCTTGGCGTTCATCGCCTCCTGGAACGAGGAAACTCATGGCGAGGACGCCAGGTCGAGTGCAAAAGTACACGATATCCATGACCCGTTCACGCTGGAAGAGATCGACGTTCTGCTTGACGCTGCAGTCAAGGGACAAGTCGCAAATGTGACCAAGACGCCGTCGCGGAGTTACAACTTGAGCTCATCTGAGCTACAATCTGCGTCGCCACCGAGGAAAAAGAGGCGTGTTCGAAGCGCCTCGAGTTCTTCAACTATAATGCAACGTCGCAAAAAGGTCGAGATCGAGACGCTTCGTGAGGAATCGATCAAGCTGGAGGCGTATTTAGCGCGTTTGAGTACAAGTGGAGGCCAGCAGAAGCCGCTAGCGTTAACAAATGTCGACGAGATACTGTCGGAATGGCATGGTCACGCACTCGTTCAGTATCAGCAACGACAACAGTCCGAACAAACCAATCGACAGCTCACGGAAAAGCTCGAGAAGCAGCAAAAACTCATCGACAAGCTTCGAGGTGTTCTTTTCAAGCGGAATGTGCTGGTTGTGAGTATTGGTGATTGTTTGATATTGGGAGGAAGTAATTCATTTGTGTTGCTGTATCGTGTAGGGAATGGAGTTCGTACGAACTTACGAGTCGCCGATCTTCGAAGACTCCTACTTCACAGTGGACCTCTCGACTCTGCTGATGAATCAACTGGAAGAAGAAGTGGACGGTGTCTATCGCAATTTCCATCGACTCTATCGACCGGAGCTAGCGCCAATCGACTATCCCGCTTCCGAGACGACGTACGGCGAGAAGTGCGAGTCAAATGTCATGGAATTCTCCACTACAACGCCGATGGAGTGGCCCATGCGGGCCGCATTCACTTATGTGTGGGACTTTCTCGACAGCACCTCGGTACGTCGTCGGCTAATGCTGGATAGTGGTAGCTTTAGCGTTGGTCTAAACTCTCGGTGTATATCCTCTAGGATCGAAGCCGCAAGCCCAACACGCTGGAGACAAGGGTCAATATTACTCTCCCTATAGCCAATCACGCCTCCTGTCACTTTTACAAGCTTCACTGCCTGCGCAAGTACGAGGAAGAAGACCGAGTCGTCATTATTTGGTCTGATCTCATGCAGATGACATCGAGGAATCTTCGGCTGCGCTCGATCGCCCATTCTGTCTTCACTCCGTCCAAGATCGATCCATCGAAAGCTAGTATCATGGAAACGTTCCTCAAGCTGTACGTAGAGCCAATAGGTGGCGAAAGCGTATCCCCTGAAGATATCCGATACGGACAAGAAGTTATTCTTGGGGCGTATGGCAGACTCATGCGAATCTTCTGGCAAGACCAGCAGAATCGATTGATAGAGGTGACTTCATGTTCGCTGTAAAGTAGCAAAATGCTGTTACAAGATGTCGATCTTTGACGTATTGATGAGATTATTTTGTGTGTGTTTTGAGGTTCGTAGTGAAGCACGTTGAGAGCAAACTCGTAATCTCCATAACCTCGTCAACACGTCCCCATACCGTCAGACCCGTCGAACTGTAAGGAATACACCATGCAACAGTCGCTAGCAGTCATTGATGACTTAATTAGTCATGACATTCACAGCGTCCCACTACCAAGGGTTTGGAATTCACCAGCCACTTAGTAGCATTGTCGACCGACTTCCAGCATGATAGCGTGATGCTATACATATACTTCTTTTGCTGCCATTGAGCTCTATACTGTAGTGCTAATACTTCTCCTTGAACTATTTACTTGGTACTGAGTAGAAATTATCAAGAACGCCCACACAAAAAGGCATGGCTTTCACCTGGTGCTACATACCCGGTACTAGTACCAAACACGTCTGGTATCCGGTTTAAAGTGGCTTACAACTGACTCTTACATGCCTGGGATCACGTCCTTTTCTTGATAGGCAAAACACATAATCCGCAAAATCTCGTCAACATGGCCCATTTGTGTCTACCGACAGTCTATCCCGTCTAAATCCCGAGCCCTTACGTGTCGAGTATTCATGCTATTTGAGAGGTTGTCGAGACGCTTATAACGTGTCAAGTGAGCACATTATTCATTGTGACAACAAGGAGTTTGAAGGCCATGGACGTCCTCGTAGCTGAAGATGACGCTCTCGTATCGCTCGAAGAAGCGCTGGCCTTTATCGACGGCTATGATATTAACGAGCAGAGCCTAACGGAGACGTTGGTGCACTGCTCTCCGGTCGATTTGTTCAGTCAGATCACCCCATCGGAGCTTCCCCCTCCCAAAACTCCAGTCACAACAAGGAAACACGCGAAGCCTCAGCGGAAGCTGTCGGAGTCTTCTTCGAGTCAAGAAGATAATCCAAACAAGAGGCGACGAGCCAGAAGCGCCGCGAGTTCTTCTACCAGACTGCAGCAAAAAAAACGTGCCGAGATTCAGGCGCTTCGAGAAGAGGCTCAAGAACTCGAGACGCAAGTGGAACTGCTCAAGAAGAACAAATTCCTACCTGGAGATATGGTACTAGAGCTCGATGACTCGGTGTTCGAAGTGAGTCAAGAGAAACAACCCTCGAACTGGCACGAAATGGCCATCGCGCAGTACCGTGAACGCCTCGTGTCAGAGAAGACAAACCGCAGACTCAAGTCCATTCTAGCCAACCAGGAGAAGGTCAATAGCGCACTCAGTGGACTCCTACAGAAGCGCTCGGTACTCAGCGGTATGGACTACGTGTTTACCGCTCAGTCTGGCGTGGACTCTGCGCTTCTGACTGGAGAAGATTCCAGCGATGCCCAGCCATCGGAAGTGAACAAAAAGGTCATGACGGAGCTGGAGCAAGCCGTTCAGCGGATGTACAAGGAGGCCAAGACTCATTCCAAGCATAACAAGTCGGTCTCAGCTATTACCTGCGATATGCGGATCAAACACGACGCTCGACGAGGAAAGGTGATTGAATTTGTCACCACAACGCCCATGTCCTGCTCGCTTGAGAGCGCCACGGAGATCGTATGGAAAGAGATATCCACGTACCGCGAATACCCCGACAAAGTGTACAACTGCGTACGTGTTTAATCTGGGATTCGAGGTTTAAAACGTTTCTGATCTAACTGGTTCTATTTTTGTTCTAGATTCGCGGGGAGAAGCCCAACACACAAGAGAAGACCTTCGTCATGAGTCTGAAAAGTCCGTCGGGTATGCTGGAGCTGAATGGTGTCCAGTACATGGAGAAGTTTGAGGAGCTCGACCAGACAATCTTTACTGCTGCGGAGAGCATGGTGCTGCCTGCAAAGGGCCTACAGTATCGCAACGAGTGCTGGATGACAGTCACGCCTTCAGCGTCGGAATCGAACGTTTCAATCGTCGAGATATTTTTTCAGCTTTACATGGAGCGGGACGACGGACTGATAGCCAGTACGGAAGACCTCGCGTATGCACAGAACATCGTCATGGGCAGCTTGAGCAACACATTGCGCAAGTTCTTCCAAACACAGCAGAACGCGTTGATGGAGAAGGCTGGTCGTATTATCGTTGCCCCGATTGCCTCTACTAAAGCAATTTTGTAGCAAGGTGTACTAAAGTAAAACATAATTAAGCTGTTGATTCAATGGCATTCATTATTGAGAATTTATATTTTGTCGATGAGCCTCATCGAGAATTGTAATATGTGGACACAGCATCGGATGTCGCTTTTCCAACGTTTTGTCGAGTGGGTTTACATATAGCATTTCTGGTACCATATTGTGGACTAACAAGCACTTCTATCGCTTGGAATCGCGTGTCTTGCCATAGTTCAGGTAAATTCAAGAGCGCTCGATCTGGGTACGAAAAAGTGTTGGCAACGCAGCCATTCAACCATCCAACATGCATCGCGCTGCGTACCTCCCAAAGGAAGATCATCAGAATTTTGTTTACACCATTCACAGGACTCTTCGATCTTGGGTAATCACCACGTGCTGCCTGTTCTCAAGAGGAAAATTTGAATTGGATGACGGTCAGGATGGGGCCAAGAACATTACTGCTCAGCTCATATTAATAAGTTGGACGATGGGGCCTATTACTCCACTGTACAAATGGCGTTGATACCGAGAGCATCCGGTGTCGATGCAGTCTATCGGCCACAGACCACGAATTTGCCATATGCTAATACCTCAGGTATTAATAGTTACGATCATCCTGCCACCTGATGATCGTTGTTGCCGTTAATGCTTCTACACAATCAGCCTATCGATAGTAAGATTTGCTCTTTGAGACTGGGGAAATAAAGAAGATTTATTGTATATAAAACTCGACACGTAGTGAGTTCTTCGTGTCACTATCCTCCGTTCGAACATGCAACTAAGTTGCAAATGAGTGGTATAGTCGATTTGACTGACAAAGGGTCCTTGCTTGCTGTATCCAATTACGCAGACAGTCTTTACAAATACTAGTGTTTAGTAGTTCTCAATTGATACATGTAACTCAGTGTCAACAGCGTTGAGAGATACAAAGACGTTGTTCCTATGACGACGTAATATGAAAAACAAACCTAGAATCGTCTCAAGATACGTACTCATTTAAGGCATCGCTATTCTCATTCCATGGTCACACGACGCCGCTTCATCAATCATAGCATCTTGAAGCAGCTGCCAATATTTCCGGATTTCTGAGCCTATAGCACCGATAGCAATGTCTTGTCCACGCCTAGAAGTGTCTCCACCTTTGCCGCAATCTAACCGAAGGACCAAATTCGATATCACCATACGTGACTTTGCAGTTAGCGGTGCAACTGTTGCCCAACCTTGAACACAAAGCCGAGTGTGAGCCGCTGGAAGCACAGTATTGTCTCCCCACACGAACACGACTCGATCAGCTTCCACGAATCGACGCAGATAGTGCTGTTTATCGAAATGAAGCGGGCCTGTGCGACTTTGCACGACAAACATGACTCGTTTCTCAAGCGAATCGGGCTTCAATCCTGGAATCTATAGGATCAAATGTTAGAAATGTTGAACCTGCGAGTACCGCCATGGGATGCTTGAACGTACTCTTTCCGATTGAAATGTCCTCCATAAGAAGGCACTTGCATCATTGACGGAGCACTCCAATGGTGTAGTGGAGTGGAACACGACACTTCTATATTGACGCTGCTCATCGTATCTTTTGGTCATTGAATTGACGAGAGCTAGCGGGCTGTTCTTCACTTGAAAATCATCACTGGAATTCAAGTAAAAGCTGTCCACACGCTGGAGAAGTAGGTCCATGGAAATGATGCTTTGGTCGAGCTCGAGGAGCGGTGGGCATTCTACTTGAGTTTGAGTTTTCAGCACAAACTCCATTCCCTAAACCAAAAAAAATGTCGTCAGTGCCATGTGTAGATCTCCATCACACACTTCACGAACACTTACTCTTTGTAGCGACCCCTCCTGCAAAACCTCACACAAAGACTCGTTGATTTTCATGTGCTTTTCCACAAGAGATTTGAGACGGCGGTTTGTGACTTCCACTTTGAGTCGCTCCCGGTATTGCTGTACGGCGTGATTGTACCATTCCTCTTGTCCTGTCCTTGGTTTTGTGTTCATGGCGGTGGGTCGCCTTTCTTCGGTAGGTTCCTGACCACTGTGAGAGGATTCAGCGGAGCAACTCGCACTAGCATACTTCATTTCAACCAGCAGGTCTTGCAACACATTCACTTGACTGCGAAGAGAATGCAGCTCTGCACGTTTTCGACGCTGCAAGGCTGTTGACGAACTGTGAGCTCCCCTCTGACGTTTCTTTGTCGACGACTTCGTGTTGATTCGTTTCGTAGTTGGCTTTGGGTTCTCCGGCGTCGTCTCTCCGGTGAGATCCGCCCCTGGTAGTTGCTGACTTTGTGTGAGAAGCTTGTCAACAATAGGGTGGAAGTTTCCGTCTCCACTATCGAAGGAACTGTCACTTGACTGAGCCAGCTCGTACGAGTCGATAAAAGCCAGAGCTTCGTCCAAAGTGGCGGTATGGTCTTCTTCGGCGAGGAAGTTCATCTTGATGTCGCTCTCGTGACTAATTGGTTAATGACTGGTGTCATGAGCGATTATGAGTGGGCGTTTTTGTAGCGCTGAGGTGCGTGTGTATGGGCACCGCTAAATGATGTAATCATTATGACGGCTGGCAACAACCTCTCACAGGGGGGG